TTTTTAGTTAGCTTGGCATGTATGTCGGCGAACTTGAGATGCAGAAAGGACTTGACCACGATGACGGGGTTCAAGTCCAGTGAGGAATGGTTTTAGAATGTGGGTAAGACATATACATATGTCTATATATATATATATATATATATATATATATATATATATATATATATATTTAAATTACCAGACATGTTGCTTTACTATAAATCGATAAAGTAAAACAAAATAAAATAAATCTATTCTGATAATTAATAAATTGTCTTTGTATTTTTTTCTTTTCATTAGAATAGTAGTCCAACTAAACTTACATTTCGTTTTAAATTAAATATTAATAAAAAAATTGTATATAAATATGAACATAAAGTGTGAAAATATGCTTTATTTTTATCAATGCGATGCAGAAATATACATTTCTTTATGAAAATATTTCAAAAGTAAATTAATAAATTAATAATTGTAAAAAGGTTTTAAAAATAAATTACAATTTTTTTAATTAAAATGAATTAAAAATTACACATTTAATCATTCCTCATTGTACAATAATAAGTATTTTAATCAACTTTTTTGTTTTGGTTTTGAAGTGGAACGTAAGCTACTCTAAGATTCACTTTTGTGTTGTTATCAGTGACTCACTGTTTTCATGAATATTATTTTTTGTTCATGTTTTTTGTTAATTTTAATCTTAAATTTAATTTCAGTGATTTGTAGTAATTTAGATTTATTATTCAATCATTTTTGGTTTTACAGTTTTAACTCATCACAGGAACCCTAACTCCTCTACATATTGCTTGATTCCTTATTTTGCCATATTTTCACCGCTTGTTATACACTCATCACACCTTCGTGACCCACTTTGATAACTGTCATGATGTCTGCTGTCTGATTCCCGTCTAACATATGGTCAGTAATATTGCTTTTCTCACGCTGATAAGAGATGTGTTGTCGTCCTGGTGGTGCGAAGGTATAATGAATCCCACAGAGAACAATAAAGCACGCAGCATGTACTGTTTTAAACTGAACGTCAACAGGCAGTGCATGCTGGGAGATCACACTGATATGACGTCTAACAGATGTCTGTCTAGTAGGTCCTGCACACTGTTTTAACATGTTATTCCACACTGTCAGAGATGCCTTTTAGGAAGTACAAAAGGCACCTATTATGCAAAGCTTACTTTTATAAGGGGTTTAAGCACAGTTATGTGGCAACAGTCTCTGAATATGACCAGCTTCTAATGTTATAATTCATAAATATTATTTTTTATAATCACACTTGATTAAAACCACTTTGATTCCACTTTGATTGGCATTCTCCCCTTGTATGTGTCATCAGAGGGTGAAAGCCATGCCCATTAGTGACCATCTCTCCCTCATTACAATGCAACATTAGCCTTGTTTTTAAATCTGCCACTATGCTGACACACAGACATTTGTAGCTCCGCCCTCTTTTGAAAAGAGCACAATCTCATTTGAGTTTAAAGTGACAGTAACCTATATAAAACTTTTGGACTCTCACAATCACACTTTTTTCGTTATTTACAGGTTCGTCATTTTATCAAACACAATTTTCCACAGTGCGAGGAAGTCTCTCTTGACCATGATTTGTACAAGCTTTTGAGGTAGTGCCCATTGGAGAAACATTTAGTGACCAAATTTATAGATCTGTTTTCTTCTCACGTCTCGGTCTCTACTGCACATCTTAAAGATTCTTGAGAGAGGGAATTAGGAATTGACATTTCATCCTCTACCTGGGAGGAGGGACTGAGTCGTATTCATTCTTGCTCTATAAATGTAAGGCTACAGCTCATTCAATTTAAAGTGATGCATAGATTGCACTATACAAAAACCAAACTTAATAAGCTGTATCCTTCTGTCTCTCCTCTGTGTGATAAATGCAAAGGCGCAGTCGGGATCTATGGTCATATATTTTGGTCCTGTCCAGAAGTATCTGAATTTTGGAAAAGGATCTTCGGACTTTACTCCCAGGCTTTTGAAATGGACATAAAAATTGATGTAGAAATAGCATTGTTTGGATGGTCAGACCAGGCTCTAACTTGGCCTAAACATCAACAACTCTCCTTTATGTATGGCATGGTGTTGGCCAAGAGAGTGATTCTGATGGAGTGGAAATCCACAACACCTCCAAATTTGTTTAAATGGTTAGCTGAAATGGTTTCTGCCCTCAAGTTGAAAAGGTTAAGCCTCTCTAGATTTGGCAAACAAAAGTTGTATGACAAAACATGGGGCCCCTTCCTTGTATAGATGTATAGGTTATTAATGTTTCTGTAATATATTTTGTTTCTGGTAATAAATTTTTTCTTCTCTCCACTTCCTTTTTACATGTTATTCTATTTTGTTTCTTTTCCATCAGTCTGGCTAAAATTTCTTTATTGTTTTGTGATGGTGCTTTAAAATTGCTGTTATGTTTGTTTGTGTTTTGGTGCATGTTCTAGTTAGTATAAGGCAATAACACCGAGACAAGTTTGTTAACATATATACATGATGTACATTATTTGGTGTTATGTTTTTACAAAAACTTCTATGAATAAAGTATATATAAAAAGTGACAGTAACCAAAATGACACAATTAGGATCAAAGCTTATAATATTATAAAATATTATATGTTTGGTATTTTGAGGTAAAACTTCACATACACACCCTGCAGATATCTTTTACATCTTGTAAAAAGGGGCATAATAGGTTCCCTTTAGAGTGCCTAGAACGACTCAATTTGTGCAAATGTAGCGGCGCGAGTTGAGTGTTTTGCCCGATTGACGCATATACTGCGTGTGCCAATTGCTCAAGTTCAAAATTATGAACTACAGCAGACATTCGCACTGCGTTAGCCAATCAGGAGCTTGCTTTTTTGAGGGCTTGATTATGACTTAGTACTTGTTGTTGGTGTTCCGGGGGAAAATCCTCCTGCCGACACCGACAACAGTTCATCAAACTGGGCCCGGCTCAGTCAGAAGCACCACTGAAAGCTTCCATCATTCAGGTTAAGTTGTGTTTAATCATGTTTATGGCAGATTTATGACAACCCAGCAGGCCTACATCGTCATAAGACATTAACATTAGATTAGATTTAGGATGTGACGTCAGGTGACCAAAATTCAAAATTCCTGAGGTTTGGTTCTGATGTCAACCCATTTTTTTGTGTTTGGAGATGATTGTGAGTCTCCTGTTGATGCCAATATTGAAGTCCTTGTTGAAACCTGTCAACCTTCTCATCTGGATGACACCTTGTAGACTGAGAGTTGATGTTTTGCAGGGCTTTAAACACACTTTCTTTGCTGTTTTCTCTCTGTCCCTGCAGAACGACTACCGGAAGCTGTCTATGCAGTGTAAAGACTTCGTGGTTGGTGTTTTGGACCTGTGCAGAGACACAGAAGAGGTGGAGGCCATCCTGAATGGGGATGTTTCTGCTGAACTGGAGGAGGGCCAGCATCACCGCTCGCTGCTCAGCCGAGTCAAACTGGCCATTAAATATGAGGTTAAGAAGGCAAGTGTGCAGATAATCACATGTTTGCGCTGCACTTTTAGAGCGAGCAAGAAAAAGTTGCTGATTATGAATGTCATTTCTGACTGAAATATTGAGATTATTATTTGTTTGATTACACAACCAGCCAGAAACATTATTGAATAATTCAGATTTTATAAAGCAAGTCTCTTCTGGTTACCAAGGCTGGATGTATTTAAGCAACAATAAATAGAGTGATGTCATAAATATATTATTATAAATTATTACTGCAGTACAACAACATAAATACTGTTTATTTTAAAAAGATACATTAAATTGATCAAAAAAAAAAAATATATATATATATATATATATATATATACACACACTCACCGGCCGCTTTATTAGGTACACCTTACTAGTAAAGGGTTGGACCCCATTTTACCTTCAGAACTGCCTTAACTGTTCCTTCATGGCTTAGATCAGGGATGTCAAACTCAATTCCTGGAGGGCCACAGCCCTGCACAGCTTAGTTCCAACTCTAATTAGACACACCTGATCTTACTAATTGAGTCCTTTAGGCTTGTCTGAAACCTACAGGTAAGTGTGTTGGAGCAGGGTTGGAACTACACTGTGCAGGGCTGCGGCCCTCCGGGAATTGAGTTTGACATCCCTGGCTTAGATTTAACAAAATACTGGAAATATTTCTCAGAGATTTTGCTCCATATTGACATGATAGCATCATGCAGTTACTGCAGATTTGTTGGCTGCACACATCCACTATGCGAATCTCCCGTTCCACCACATCCCAAAGGTGCTTTATTGGATTGAGTTCTGGTGACTTTGGAGGCCATTTGAGTACACGGAGCTCATTGTCATGTTCAAGAAACTAGTCTGAGTGTTGTGTGTTCAGAGATGCTCTTCTGCAGAGCTCGGTTGTAACGAGTGCTTATTTGAGTTACTGTTGCCTTTCTATCAGCTGGAACCAGTCTGGCCATTCTCCCCTGACCTCTGGCATCAACAAGGCATTTGCGCCCACAGAACTGCTGCTCACTGGATATTTTCTCTTTTTCTGACAATTCTCTGTAAACCCTGGAGATGATTGTGCGTGAAAATCCCAGTAGATCAGCAGTTTCTGAAATACTCAGAGCAGCCCATCTGGCAACAAAAACCGTGCCACGTTCAAAGTCACTTAAATCACCTTTCTTCCTCATTCTGATGGTCAATTTGAACTGCAGCAGATCATCTTTACCATGTCTACATGCCTAAATGCATTGTGTTGCTGCTATGTGATTGGCTAATTAGAAATTTGCGTTAACGAGCAGTTGGACAGGTGTACCTAATAAAGTGGCCGGTGAGTATATGTATATATATATATATATATATATATATATATATATATATATATATATATATATAAGACCTTTTCAGAACAAGAAACAATACTAATTTTCAATATGATTTCTGATTCACTATCAGTATCATTTAAAAAAGTGTGTGACTATATTTATTATATTTATTTGGCTCCTGAACAATTTGTATTACAAAATTCATCAATGCAAAAAAAGGCTTAAGGCAACCTCAATAATCATTTATAAATCCTTTCAATCATGTTTACGGAAAGCTCATCAGCATTATGATTGATGAGGATTGACAAATACTGCTTCGATTCTTCTGCCCATATATTTTCACAGTCGTTAGGGTGAAGTATGTCCAAAATGTAATAACAAGACGCAGAGAGCAATAGATAAAGACAGCCCCAATTAATCACATGCGTTTTATTGTGAAGGTGTGACTAATCCTTTATACTGACATTGTTTTCTTTAATCATTCACTTCTCCAAACACTCAATCTCAGGACAGTAATCCGACTGAAGCATTAATCAGGTTAACAGCAGCGTGCTCCACCATCCTGACCTAAAGCCTAATTTAAAGATGAGGTTTCAGAAGGCCTAAACGCTCCCATGAGGACTCGGGGTTTGCTTTAGGAAATGAGTTTAGAGTCAGTCGTCCACATTACAGTGATTAATTCATGGCTGCTCTGCATTTCAGGCTGTTAAATGAACAGTGGGCAGAGATGTGATTGGCTCTGCTTGTGGTGTCACTTATAAAATGAAATATGGGTTTGTGGGATGTGTGTTTGGGGCGTTGAGTGCTCCGAGATTTGAGGGATGGTAAACAAGTCGTGGTTTAATGGTAGCATGTTTGGCCATGTTCAGTAATGAGGCGTAGAATTTGTAAAGCTCTGCTATATTACTCTTAGTAATACTGCCATTCATTTAAATGGCAGCTGTGGGATTTTGTATTCCATTCCAAGGTATGCTTATAGCATTATTACATTAGGGCTTGAATATGATTATTTTGCACATTTCTCTGATTTCTAAATATTCCAAATTATTTTGAACTGAAAAGCCTTGAATAGCCGATATAAGAGCTGATATATCAGTTCATTCAATTGGTTCCATTGAGTCAGTAACTCACTGATTCAGATGGTCTTTTCTGAGTGAGTTTTCAGCTAACAACTCACTGATTCAAATGATTCAGTCAGGGTGAGTTTTCAGTTATCAACTCACTGTTTCAGATGATCCAGTTAAAGTGAATCTGCAGTTAACAGTCCACTAATTGACATGATTCAGTCAGTGTTAGTCTACAGTCATCAACCCACTGATTCACTTGATCCAGTCAGAGTGAGTCTTCATTTAACAACTCACTGATTTGGATGATCCAGTCAGAGTGAGTCTTTAGTTAACGACTCACTGATTCACTTGATTTACTCTTCAGTTGTCAACTCACTGATTCATATGATCCAGTCAGAGTGAGTCTCCAGTTAACAACTCACTGATTCAGATGATTCAGTGTGAGTAAGTATTCAATTAACATCTCATTGATCCAGATGATTCATTCAGGGTGAGTATTTAGTTAACTTTCTGATTCATATGATTTAGAGTAAGATAACAGTTCATTGATTCACATGAATCAGTTAGAGTGAGTATTCAGTTATCAACTCACTAATTCACATGACCCAGTCAGAGTGAGTCTTCGGTTATCAACTCACTGATTCAGATGATTCAGTCAGAGTGAGTCTTCAGTAACAACTCACTGATTCAGATGATTCAGTCAGAGTGAGTCTTCAGTAACAACTCACTGATTCAGATGATTCAGTCAGGGTGAGGCTTTAGTAATCAACTCACTGATTCACATGATTGAGTCAGAGTGAGTCTTCAGTTAACAACTCACTGATTCAAATGATTCAGTCAGAGTGTCTTCAGTTAACAACTCAATGATTCACATGATTCAGTCAGAGTGAGTCTTCAGTTAACAACTCACTGATTCAAATGATTCAGTCAGAGTGTGTCTTCAGTTAACAACTCAATGATTCACATGATTCAGAGTGAGTATTCAGTTATCAGCTCAACAATTCAGATGATTCAGTCAGAGTGAGTCTTCAGTTATCAACTCATCGATTCAGATGATTAAGTCAAAGTGAGTATTCAGTTATCAACACACTGATTCAAATGATTCAGTCGGAATGAGTCTTTAGTTATCAACTCACTGATTCACATGATCCAGTCAGAGTGAGTCTTCAGTTATCAACTCACTGATTCACATGAATTAGTCAGAGTGAGTCTTAAGTTATCAACTCACTGATTCAGATGATTCAGTCAGAGTGAGTATTCAGTTATCAACTCACTGATTCACATGATCCAGTCAGAGTGAGTCTTTAGTTATCAACTCACTGATTCACGTGATCCAGTCAGATTGGGTCTTCAGTTAATGACTCACTGATTCACATGATCCAGTCAGAGTGAGTCTTCAGTTATCAACTCACTGATTCACGTGATCCAGTCAGATTGGGTCTTCAGTTAATGAATCACTGATTCACATGATCCAGTCAGGGACATTTCCCAAACAATAACATAACTCTTTGCTCAACTAACATAGCAGTTGTCTCTTAAGCATTCACAAAGATATATTGAGAACCATGTTGGCTAGAAATGTTGGTTTAGCGGTTAAAATAATACATCTAAAACAATGCAATTAGTATACACATTGAACAAAAGATATATACTGAATAAAGTGATCTGCAGCACATGGAAATACAGAAGATGTTGAGAGTCACAGGAATGGTTCCTGTCTTGTGTTAGTAATGTGTCTCTCTGGTGCAGTTTCAGTCGTGATCGTGTGGTGAGGCATTTCTCTGATCACCCATCAGACACATAAAAACCAGCACATCCTGATTCACAACCAATCAGACTGGAAAATTGCCAGGGCTTAGAGGAAAGCTTGTCCCCCGTTTACACTGAGTGTAACCTGAGAGAAACACAACGGCTCACGAATCATTGGGAGGGTCTGTCACCCATGTTCGGATTCGCTCCCAGTAGCATTTACTCATCAGCAGAAACACCAAATCCCAAAGGCAGCTCTTGACAAGAACAATGGATCTCTTTTCCACTCTCTCACACAAACACACATATAGCAGGAGACAGTGAATGATCTCAGACCATCTACCAAAACATGCCACATGACCTTGCTGTGACATACGGTAATGCAGAAAATAGGAGAAGCATTTAAACCTGAGCTGATTCAGTGAAGAAGCAGCAGAGAGTTTTTCTGAAACTAGATATACAGTTGAAGTCAAAATTATCAGCCCTCCTGAATTATTAGTCCCCCTGTGCATTAAGGGGTCTGAATTCACTGTTGCTATGGAAAAATACGGTTTGCACCCAGGCTTGTGCTTATTCCCTTAATGAGTAAAGGGTGTGTTTTGAGCGTAACGTGCATTAAACCAATCAGAGTCTCATCTCTCATTCCCTTTAAGAATCAGTTGCGTCGTGCCATGGCTCATTTGCTATTTACATGGCAGACTTTGTAAGTGAGAAAACTGAGAACTTCACTAGCGAGAAAACGAGTTAAACAGAGCATCTGCAGCCCAAAAATAAAGAACAAGCCTCCTCCATTCAGCCTCTTTACTTTCTCTTTACTTTTACTCTTCACTTTACTCCTTTACTTTTTTGGACTAAGGAAACGGTGTTGTACTCACTC